TATTATAATATCCCTGTAATAACAATAACATTAAATTAGAAAATTGTTTTACTGATTTTGGTTCTGAACTCTATTCTCTTATACAAACTATCATGTATTTTACTGCTACAATTCTTATAGGCTATTCATAGAGAGTTTACGCTGCTCATTTGCTGACTGTGAATCATGTCATCCTTTGCTTTGACTTGTTATCAAACTCTTGTATTGCCATTCATTTTATTCTCAAAATCTTTTCTCGGCACTCCTTGTATAACAGACTGTGCAATGGCTGAGCTTGAGAAGTTGGATCAGAAATACTGAGTTACCCTGAGGTAAGTTCATTTGTTCTTTTTGATCGCTACTGTTGAAGATCTACTTTGAACTATATAAAAGGTTTTGGGGGTTAGCTATGCATTATTATCTCATCGAGCTAAGCAATTTTTATGCAATACAGATTTGGGCACTTGTAAACAATGATTTTATGAAAATATGTCGGCACTTTCTGTTATATTCTGTAAATATCTTTATGGAATAAAAAGGATGAATATGATAAGTGAAAGTGTAAAGATGTGTTTCACCTAAATACCACTTTTTTAGGTGGATGGTCCATGTGGCTATTGGTGATTGGTTGGTTCTTAGTCGTTCTTAGTCACCTGGGTTGTGCTACTTAAAATGGAATGTAGGCCGTTGGATCTTAATGTGTGGCAAGGATCTAATCTTGACTTCATATGGTTTTTATGACCTTTGTTCTACCCGTCTTGGAGGCAAGAGATATCCATTCTGTCTGGGCCTTTTTCGTAGCAGCTCTCTCTCTCTCTCTCTGAAATTCTTCCTTCTGCTATAGTGCTTCTACTATTGTACTTTTAGAGAAGTTGAAGGATTGTATAACCCTTGTGTAGACTTGAAAGAAAGGTTTCGGTCTGTTGTTTTTTACCGTGGTGCACTGGTTTAGCCGTGTTTGTTCTTGTTGAGTTTAAGGTTGATTCTTGTATAGGGTTCTTGAGATCTTTGTGTGATCTATGATTAGAATCTTAGGAGAGAGCTAGATTGGTTTCTTTGTACATTGATCTCTTTGAAAGGCTGGTTTTACGTAGTGGATTGGGCTGATCTTGAGCCCCCCAGATTAGCCCTTATTTGGGTGAATTGGGTCACCAAGTTTTGGTGTTCGTGTTATTTAATTTTCTGCACGTTATTACTTGTTTGTTATGCTATAATTTTTGCCGATTGATAGTATTTTTGGTTTGACTGAGTGGCTAAAAATATAAGATTATTGAGGTAAAAATAAATATGGGACCAATAATCCTAACAAAACTGGTATCAAAGCCTGTGTTAAGGTTCTTGAGCATTTTTTGGTTTTCTAAAATTTTTTCAAATAAATCATCCTTGGTGAAAAATAAGTTTTAAAGTGATCTGCAATTTGAAGAAAAAAAAATTAATTGCAGAGTCAAGACATTTTTTTTCTTGGGTTAGATTCTGAGGTTTCTTGAACCAATTTTTGGGTAAAATTCACTGGCTCGAAATTTAGAAGATTCTGCAGACCTCTAAAGTACCTGCACTGTTATTGAATTGGTTAAATGCCTACTGATATTTTTTGATCAAGTGTTTCAGGTTTGATTACTGTTTTGGTTCCACTAAATTGGAGGTGGACCTGTTGGACTCTTAGCTTCTTGATAAAAAACTGGATTCAGAAGTATTAAATTGTTGTTCAACAGTTTTGGTGAGATCGTCTAAATTTCTTGGATTCAATTTAAAATCTCATGCTGGTTTCTTATTGTTTAATGCAAATTGGAATTTGTTGCTGCATGCTATATTGATATATGTTGTAATCTGGACTGCATAACTGTTAATTGACGAATTGCACGTTATTGCTGAGTATTACACATATCTAGACTGCATAACTTTTAATTGATGAATTACTTGTTATTGCTGATTATCATACATGCCTGCGGTACACACAATTTATAGTAATCTGACTTTTCATTTCATCTGTTTAATTCTGAAATTGTTTCTTGACTGATATGAAAAACCTGAGTGTTTTCTCAAAAA